TAGTGTGATATTAGTGGAGAAGAAGTTACACAAGATTAGGTTTACAAACCTTAATGTCTTTTTGGCTATGTTGTTACAGTGGGCTTTGGCATTTGATACGAGTACTCCAAGGTCTTTGACAGAGTGAGGGTCATCTACAAGGTCGGGTCCACTCAGCTTGTATTTTGTGTTCTGATTCTTTTTGCCAATGTGTAAGACAGAGAATTTTGAGTTGCCAATTTTTTGACCATTCTGACACAAAGTCAAGGTCTTTTTGAAAGGTAGCAGCATTTGGTGGTGCTAAATAGTTTTACATCATTTAAAGGGGGGGGGAGAGAAAGAAAGAGAGAGAGAGAGAGAGAGAGAGAGAGAGAGAGAGAGAGAGAGAGAGAGAAAAGTGGGATAAAAATAAAACAACAACAACAATAATAATAAAGAGTCTCGTAAATTTATTAGGCATATCCCCCAAAATAGCAAAGAAAACATTAGATGATTGAATTATATTTTAGTGACACCATGTGGCTACATGCCAATTTGCTATCTGCTGAATTGAATTTCTTGTCATTGTGTAGGACAGATGAAACTCCATAAAAAGACATAATTCAGAAAGAAAAGAGACCTCACTGATTTACAATTTAAGAAGCACAATAAATTGATAATCAAACCTAATAAAGTAGATTAGAGAGTGAAGTTTGTCCAAATTTGCTTATTTTCCTGTATTGTCACATTGAATGTGGATATTGATCACTAATTTAGCACTTATTCTCTAAACCTAACAACTAATTTTAAAAGCTTATCCAGGAGGATATAAATCAGGGGTGCCAAACTGGCGGCCAGCAGGCTGGATGTGTCACACACAGGCCACGCCCACCCCAGCTCCAAAAATTGGAAAAATGTTGTGAAACATCACATGACTGCAATGTGACGTGGTAAGTTTGACACCCGTGATATAAATAATTAACACCAAAATTTTAGCACACTGAGATCTGTCTAGCATCTATATTAACTTGCTTTTCTATGTCAGCAATTTATCTCATTTTACACAGAGAAAAAAATAGTATTATCATTGATACTATTATTACAGCTACTTTACATTTAGATTTGCAACAGTTTTTCTCTCCCTCCCAATTCTGACAAGAAAAGTATTGTTCTATTTGACTATGAGATTGATTTACTGTTTTATGAATGACAGGTAAAATTCTGCTGGTTTTTTTTTCTGCTATAAGATAAACAGAAAATACAAGAGTGTTTTTAAAAAGACTATAGCATTTAATCATAATAATATTTAGAAGGAAGTACATGAAGCCAAAATTATGACAGGGTTCATACATCACATTAAGCTATAAACTGTTTATCAACTACACTGCTGACTTCATGCATCTCAATTTAAGAAACAATCTTAAGGCCCCAAGCATTTTGAATTGTGAATACAACCATCAGAGTCATCCTGTAAAATGGAGAATTTTTTTTAGAAAAATAGAACCTTGCTATTTTAAATACAAAAATGGTCCAACTAATTATCTAATTCTAACATTCCATTTAAAACAACACCAATGAGAATGTTTTAGTGAATCCTTAAGAATGCTATACTTGCCCACAGTTTCTTCTGCATAAGTAATTTCTATAAACCAAACAGTTGCCCATAATAGACTCTTATGATTCATGCTGAAAGAAATCCATAAACTAAAAACCCAAGAAAAATAGTTCCTGCTGTTGCTCCACAAATGTTTGCTAAGTGCTATGTAAGAAAATTTTTCCTCCAATAAATTAGCTTTAAAACTGCACAGATTTACTGGAACTATTATAATAGTTTGAATTATTGTTTCTGTCTAATCTCCCTTTTATATACATGTAGAAGGGAGAGTAAGGTTAAATTCAATCTTAAATTCTGGTTCTTCCATATAAGTAAGATATCATTTATTAAATATCATATTTGCATTTGCACAAGAAGAATATCTGGAGATTGAATTTCATTTTTATCAAAGAATACTAGAGCACAGTATAGTAGTCCCTTCTATAAGTTTGTCCTGTGCATTGGCACTTGGAGAAAAGAAACCCAATACAATAACTATTAGCAAATGACAAACACATATAACACATGTATAAGCAAACAGCTTGGTCTATTGCAAGCCTCTGCTAAAATAAATTCCACACAGAGTATAACAACAGAACTAATAACTTAGAAAACTAATTTGGATTTCTCAAAATGCTATTAAAAATCAATTTTGCACTGTTAAAATATATTGCAAAATAATGCAGCAAATGATTTATTGAGCAGATTAAATCAGTTTGTGTTTATCGTAAATATTCTAGAGTTCATTTAAAAACTAATAAATTATCGATTTGGTTACTATGTGAAACAATATCTTGTAGAATTTCTTTAGCATCACAATGATATTTTATTATTGGAAACTCAGTGAAGAAGTTAGGAAAAGAAAAAAGTACTAAGAACACAAAGCAAATGCCTAAAGCAAAGAAACTTCAAGGAAATCAAGGAAAAGCAATAGTTTTTTGTTGTTTCCAAGACACTATGAAATTGAACTAATTACGATACCCTCAGGAATACTGTACTGAGATTACTTTGATTAAGTGTCTCTTAGTACATATGACTCATATTTACATAAAAATTAAGATGTCATATGTAGTGAGAATTTAATGCAACCTTGCATTAACTTCTCACCTAGCATCATGAACTCCAGGCAAACAAGTGCATTCCATCCAGCAGAATGAGCAGACTGAGATGCAACAAATAAATCTATTTTTATCTGTTTCAATGAATATTTTTACTGACCTACATCATTAGCCTCTTAATAGTGTTATAAATAATTTTCTAGCTAAGTAATATGTATGAGTTTATAGTCCATTTGATTACAAATAGTTCTTTAATGTTGTTTAACAATCAGTATTTCCAATGCTACAAAAATAATACCTTCCCAATATCAAATATAGTTTTGACGTATTTAAAAGAGAAAACAGATATAAATGAACATAAATATCTTACAAATTCTTTTCTATTCTATCTGTCCATTCTCCTTTATTCCTTCTAAACTATCCTAACATCCTTTTGCATAGCTTCTATCACAGATATTTATTTAATTTATTTATTATAATTTGTCAAACAAAAACAAAAACAGGAATAATATAAAAATACAATGACAGGGACGAGAGGCACATTAGTGCACTTATGCACGACCCCTCAACGGACCTCTTAAGTATGAAGTGAGGTCCACAGAAGTCAATTTATGAACTAAAACTGTGAAAATTTGTAGCTGAGACAACTGAATCAGATAGAGCATTCCAGACTTCAACAACTCTTTTACAAAAATCGTATTTTTTATAGTCAAGTTTAGAACGATTTACATTGAGTTTAAGACAGTTGTTCGTATGCTTATTATTGCGATTAAAACAGAAAAAACTATTTACAGGTAAAACATTACTACGTACAATTTTGTATGCAATACCTAAGTCTGACTGCAAGCGACATAGTTCCTAGTTATCCAAACCAAGAATTATGAGTCTAGTAGCATAGGGAATTCTATTATGTACAGAAGAGTGCAAAACTTTTCTCGTAAAATACTTCTGAACCCACTCAATTGTACTGTCAGATATACGGTAGGGATTCCAAACAGTTGAACAGTACTCTGATTGGTCTAGCATAAATTTTATAAGCTCTAGTTAGCAATACAATGTTTCCAGAAAAGAAGCTTCGCAGAATTAAGTTTACAACTCTTAGTGCTTTTTTAGCAACCCTGTTACAGTGAACTTTGGAGCATAGATCATCAGAGATAAGTACACCTAACCCTAACCCTTAACAAAGTGAGGGTCATCTGCAAGATCAATACCACCTAGTTTATACTTGATATTCTGATTACATTTACCAATATGTAAGATAGAGCATTTATTAATCAAAATTTGAAGTTGCCAAATGGATGATCATTCAGACACATAGTCAAGATCCTTCCAAGGTCGGTAAAATGAGGACCCAGATTGTTGGGGGCAATATGCTGATTCTGTAAACCGCTTAGAGAGGGCTGAAAAAACACTATGAAGCAGTATATAAATCTACGTTCAGTTAGACTCATTTATTGCTTCCTATCCTTTCCCCATATTTTAAATATCAAATGCCACAAGAAATATGAACAATCATATTCCAAGTTTAGATCAAGAAATAGATTTCAACTCCCTTTTTCCCACCAGAGGTCCCACATTTATATCTGACACATAAATCAACTTCATGTCGTTGAGAATTCATTAACCCCATTCATAACATCTCAGGATTTTTCTCCATTACTTTCTCCTTCCATTCCCTAAGTAGCAAAATGTAAACCAATATGAAGTGAAACAGCATTTTAATGGACTAACTGGAATGTGTTTAAAAAGGGTAGATGTGTATATTATTATTTAATCACAGAATGTTATTACCTGTAGTGGTATATTATCTACAGTGACTGTACATCAGTACACAATTGGTGGTATTTTCATAATGATGTCATTACACAATCTTGTTAATCAATATGGAAGACTGTTCTGTTCCATATAACTGAGGTTTCACTGTAACTAATTTTGACTGGATTGTAACACTGAAGAAAAGAGACTGTGCAATGAAACCTCTCTCTCTATCTATCTATCTATCTATCTATCTATCTATCTATCTACTATCTCTTCAAAGACTGAAAATTAAGGAGACAATTAAAGAGAAAAATTTCTGCTTTTAAACTACTGTACTAGATAATGGTGATTTTTTATTTTTTTATAATATTTAATTTATAAGATACCAAATGCAACAATTAGTTACCTTATTTTATAAGACGTTTCTAAAAGCTACTTTTATTAACATTTCAGGATATCAGCAGCTTGAACCACTTACTTAAAGTTATTTCAATATATCTACTCAAATGTTAGTTTGGTTTGTTCTAATATGTACTGAACTAACCATTGTATCTAATTCTAATCAATTAAAGTAAAACAATTTATTTCAATATTAAAATACTATGGAATCAAAACAGTAGGATCACACTAACCTGCAGACACGGGCAGGAAAATACAGTTTCTGCCAAGATCGACATAGATATTTTGAGTGATCAATTACACGAATCCAGTCTAGTTCATCCATGGATACCTCAATATAATACGAATATGACCTTTAAAGATCAAATAAATTAAAAATATTGCCGTTATCTATCTAAAAATTTCACACAATATTTTATACACTCTGGGGATCACTATGTTACATTCAATGTTAGATGGGGGGGGGAAATCTATATTTAGGCCAAATGAGCTAATCTTGCTTCCTTCTGTCTGTGTAATCTCTTACAAAGATCCAAAATATATTCAACAGTTCTGAGAATGCAGGGATGAACAATTTGATTAACCCATCAATTTTATGAGGCAAGATAGTTAAGCATACAACAAATCCACCTCACTTTCAGGTAAATGCAAATATTTAATACACTTAAGATATAAAAGAAAGTATTCTCTGTGTTTTTAGTTTTTAAAATTTAAACTTAACCAGAGAAGTTGTACATTAAAAAAAATCAATAGGAACCTGAAAATATTTAGTAGCTCATAGACATCATTAAACAGCTTGATCATGTGGATGTGTTTTAAGCCCTTTTTCCATAATTTTTATTTGATGTTTATCTTCTACTACAGTAATGTTTACTCTTACTCACATTATCAAATACATTACTATATTTTATCAATATCCTTATCTTCTTAAAACATTTATTTACTATTTGTCTTCTATAAACAGTTCAGAAGACACACAAAACTACAAGTATAAAACCTTTCCCCCTCTTTGGTACCCTTTTAAGGCAGTATTAACTTGTGGCAACTATCCTGACTGGTTCCTGCAAGTTTTTTCACAGTATTTTTCAGAAGTGGTTTACACTGCCTCTTCCTAGGGCTGAGAGAGAAAAGCTCATCCAGCTGGCTTTGTGCCTAAAACGGAACTAGAACTCCAGTGGTGGGTTGCTCCCGGTTTGGGCGAACCAATAGTGGCGGCGGCAGGAGGCTCTGCCCAGACATCATCAAAAATGATCTGCGCATGCACAGAAGCACCGCGCATGCCCACGCACTACTGATAGCGAACTGCTAGCAATGGGTTTTGAAACCCACTAAGGTAGAACTCACAGTCTCCCTGTTTTTAATGTGGTACCTTAACTACTACACCAAACTGGTGTTCATAAAACAAAATAGGGAATTATTAAAGTAGTAATAAAAATATTTAAAACAATATTTTTATAAAAGTAGCAGTGAAATTAGGCATTTAAAGAACTCTCAAATCCAATCTTTATTATGGTCAAAGACCAACATAATTAAAGCACTCTTAAAAATAGAAACTTTCAATCAACTACTAGAACCTGTGTAACAAAATATTAATATCATTTTTTAAAATAACTGAATATTCCCACTTATTTTTACCATGTCTTTATATTTCATTATTCTACAATGTTATTTCATTTTAATGATTTTATGTACTTGAGATCACTCCCATTCAGATAAATTTTCTTCAATTGAATTTCTTAGTGTCAGCTGAATTTCTCAGAGTCTGAAGACAATAAAATGGTCATGTTCTCAAGCTCAAATCATTTTTTTATGGCCGAGAATGAAAAACAAAAAGACTTAGAACCTACCTGCTATCTCGATCCCATAATAGTATTCGTATGTGATTGATTATTGATGGCTGACCCAATTTAATTTCAATACCAGAACGGCAGTCATCATCGATAGGATGTCGGGAAAATCCATGGTCTAGATCATAGTTCTGTGTGTCTCCATCTAATAAGGCAGATTTCAATTCCCCTTTAACCACTTGGGCTCCATATTTCATAGTAGCAATGTTCTCACCTGGTACTGGAAAGAACAGCAATGAAAAGTAGTTTATTTTTTTCTTTCTAGCACATTTCCAATTGATTGGTAAGATACACTACCTCTACCCTGTGACTTTTGTCAGAACAGTGAAAGAAGTTCCATAATCTAATCAAGAAAGCAATAAGATAGTCACGACAACAAAGCCCCACTGATTAAGACTTGGCTCTGCAAGTTGGTCTGGGGGACCCAGTGGGAGAATTCGACTGTGGAGGTGGCTGCTAGATTGACCGCAGATGCCACCTTCTTTCCCTTGCCGTGGCACAGTGGTTAGAATGCAGTATTGCAGGCTAACTCACTGCTCACTCCAGGAGTTCAATTCTGAGCAGTTCAAAGTTGACTCATCCTTCCATCCTTCCAAGGTCGGTAAAATGAGGACTGAGATTGTTGGGGGGAATATGCTGACTCTGTAAATTGCTTAGAGAGGGCTGTAAAGCACTGTGATACAGTGTATAAGTCAAAGTGCTATTGCTTGCCCTCTGCTTCTCACTTGCTCATCTTTTTTACTAGTCATACTGATATATTATCTTTTACTTTTTCATTGTTTATTTTATTGTTCTATTATTTTATTTTCACTTTGTTTAAATTTCCTTTTTATTTCCTTGTTTTTTATTGTTGTAGAGTAGCCCCATTATAAGATAGGTGCAAATACATTTGATAATAATAATTTTTGATCATGTTAAAAACCTCTAATATTTTGAATAATTATAAAATGCGTAAAATGCAAATTCCTGAGAAATCAATCAAATTTGATCAATAATTAGAAATTACTTTTTGAATAAAAACAGCCTCTTTATAAAAACACTATTCTAGTAAAGGAACATGGAATATGGGAACAGAAAAAAAAAACAAACATAAAAATTTACAGCTATTTAATTTAATGAAATTTAGAATTAAGAAATATTGAACATGAATTCACTGTTTGAATTTTTGGAAAAAATGATGGCTATATCTCAAAATTCCATAAATAGAAGATCAGTCAAAGAATTAATATTTCCCTCGCCACCCATTTCCTTGTAACCTTAAGACAACTTCCTCAAGTTATACCATAAAAAGAAAACAAAACATTCCCCTAATTCCAGTGACACATACGCCACGCAGTAGCACTCCCAACCCACTTAAGAATAACATTAATTACAAGAATAGTTTTTTATTGACTCAACCTTTAAATACCAAAATACAAGGAAAAAGCTTTTGCTATTTCACTGAGGATTAGATGAATTAGGATCAAGCAATATAATTAGGATTTACAATCAGTTATCAGAGGCTACATATTTCTGCTGGTTAACTGTTGTTTAGCAGCAATAATAACATTTTTAATTAAAATATTTTAATTAAAAAGAAATTAAATTAAAAGTAATAAAAAATGTATAAAATCTTCCTTTGCAAGTATCAAAATGCTTACTTAACATGCCCCTATAGTTGAGGTCCATGTCCCGACTTTCAGATCGAACTTTGATGGCATCCAAAATAGCATCAGGAGATAGCAATCCCGAAGGTCTTACGACATTTAAAAGTTCTGTCAAGCTCATCAATGGCAAGCGCACTGCCTTCATGATTTCAGCATGACTTTCCTTAGGATTGTGTTTGCACCAGTTCATCAATGCTTGAAAAATGTCCTTCTCAGGAGCTGCAAATGAATCCCTCAGTACAATACTGAGAAGTGCTGGCTAAAAAGTAAAAAGAAATGGCAGTAATATAACATTGCTCAGTCAGCTCCAAGTAAAACTATACTATTTGAATTCTACAGTACAAGCTCTTCATTGTGAGCTAATAAATTCTGTTGGCAATAAACTTTTGCTTATAATACCAACATCCCATATATCCACATAAAAACATTACCCTTCCTACATAAAAGCAATATTAGCAGCAGTTCCTTACTAACCATTCAGGTATCTGAAGCTAGATGAGATTATTCATTTCTATTATATAATCATATAGTTCAATACAATCCTATTAATAAAATTAATAAATAAAATTAACTTGCAGCAAAACTGTTCCCCTGGTCCATTAATGAAACTTATTTTTGTTTTGTGAAGATGCTTTGTATTAGAATGTGGATTCTTTTTGGTTTTGTTTCTATTATTGTTTTTGCTTTACTCTATCCAGAATCCTTCTGGATTGGGGCAGACTCTAATTACATATTGATACTTTTAATCAACTATTACAGAATTGCATGCAAGCGCAGAAACATTAAGCTCCTGAACACAGAGCCTTTTCAAGAAGCATCTTCCTAGTTTCAACACATTTCAGAGAAGATTAAGAATTGAGGAATAATTGTGATTGAAAAATGGAACAATGATTATTCAGGTAGAACACATTCCAGGAATGACTGATTATTGAAAGGGCTTATGCAGGAAAAGGAAAGCAAAATCATTGTTGAATACCATCTGGTCCACTGAAAAATAAACATCTGGATAATAGTTTTAAATTCTATTTCAACCATTTCAACAATATTTCCAAATATATTAAAAAAAGTAACTTTAAAAAAACCCTAAATAGTTGACATACCTTAGAAAGAGACAGAAAGCCTTCACTGGAGAGTACCTCTTGAGCATTTCTGTCCATAAATATGAAGCACATACATGTCAATTTAGGTAGTGAGTAGAGATTAGCAACATCATAGGTCATGCAAACATTTTGAATGTTAAGAATGGTGCAAAGGTATTCAGAGGTGGAATCCTCCAGTTCTGGAAACCCATATTTATGTGCTAAACTCAAAAAATCTAACAGGACTTCTTCTTTCTCATCTCTTAATGTGGCACGACCTGTATAAATATATTTCAATAACATTGTAAAGGCTTCTGCGGTGGTATCATGGAGAGGGATTTCTGCTTCAGGCTGAGATTCACGCATTCCACCATATAATAACGCTCTGTTCAAACACAGAGAAAGAAGAAAAGTGAGGAAAATTTGCATTTGATAAAATCATGCAAACTCTAAAACAAAAAGAGTGATATTTTTATCACTGTAAAATCATCACACTTAGTTCTTAAGACAAGTGTTTGGATTTGAAGCTATTGAAGCTTGTATCAAGCAGTTAAAAATTACTTGCAATTGATTCCTGGGCACAGCTATATGTTGCTTTAACATACAGAGACTATATGCAGCAGGTTTTGCATTAAAAACAAGAGACAAGGCTGAACACTATGCTAGTGAAAGGAACTTCTCAGTATTTGTCCTCTATGTTCCCTCCTTTCCCTGAAGGTGTGTGGCCTTTGAGGAATAGTTATTCAAAGGTTTGAAGGAGTTTCCCAAATAAAAATGGAGTAGTCTGGGAGGTTGAGGAAAAAATTAAATTCCTTGGAAATGAGTAAAATTACCCATCACAGACAATCAAATGGATTGCTCTAGATTTGGGGATTAATTTGGGGAGTCATTTTTACAAATTCTGAAATCTATTGTATTTTCTTCAAAAATGTTACACACTAGACAACATAATAGATATTATAGAAAGTTATATATGCTGCAAGAAAAAATAAATTGATCCATAAAAAACTATATACTTAAAAAGAAAAAAAAATACTCTAAATAAGAAGAAAAATAACAGAATTAGGAAAGGAAACATTAATACCGAACTGCTTCCTTTTCAGTTTTTAATACCAGATCTCAACCAGAAACTATTTTATAGGATTCTTGCATTTCAAAGAGTTGGGGACAAATAGGTAACATGGGAAATTTCATAATTCGCCCCTCCTGTTCAATATTTATGTGAAACCGCTGGGTGAGATCATCCGTGGTTTTGGGGTGAAGTGCCATCTGTACGCTGATGATACTCAGCTGTACATCTCCACCCCAGACCACCAACGATGCCCTTGATGTGATGTCTCGCTGCCTGGAGGCCGTGCGGGTCTGGATGGGGAAGAACTTGTTCAGACTCAACCCCTCCAAGACCGAGTGGCTGTGGCTTCCGGCGCCCCGATATAGTCAGCAGGTGCCATCGCTAACTATTGGGGGTGAATCTCTGCACCCCACAGAGAGGGCTCGCAATCTGGGTGTCCTTCTGGATGCACGGCTGTCTTTAGAAGAGCATATGACGGCCGTGGCCAGGGGGGCCTTTTATCAGGTTCTGATTCACCAGTTGCACCCTTTCTGGATCGGGACGCCCTACGCACGGTCAATGCCCTTGTTACTTCCCGGTTGGACTATTGTAATGCTCTCTACATGGGGCCCTTGAAGAACACTCGGAGGCTCAACTGGTCCAGAATGCTGGTGGTTATGGGCGCAACTCGTTGTGCCCATGTGACACCCCTCTGCGCGAGCTGCACTGGCTCCCAGTGTCTTCGGGTGCGATTCAAGGTGTTAGTTACCACTTTAAAGCACTCCAGCTAGGACCGGGTACTCCGAACCGTCTTCTGCCACCAATAGCCTCCACCGACCAGTCGTTCCCACAGAGAGGGTCTCCTCAGGGTGCCGTCAACAAGTTATGTTGACTCAGGGGAGGGCCTTCTCTGTGGAGCCCCAGCCCTGTGGAACGAATGCCCCCGGAAATTCGTAAGATCTCGACCTCGGGCGTTTCGCTGCGCAATGAAGACCCTATTATTCAGGCCGGACTAGCAACACAATAGTTTTTAAATTGGGATATTTAAATTTATTGGGGTTTTAAATTGAGCCACTTTATTTAATTATTAAATTTTATATTGTTGTTTTGTTTGTGTTTTTAAACAGGCTGTACACCGCCCTGAGTCTTCAGGAGAAGGGCGGTATAGAATAAAATTATTTTATTATTATTATTATTATTATTATTATTATTATTAATATTATTATAATTATTATATTATTATTAATCTGCTTCACAGCATTAACTCCTGTTTTGTTAAAGCCATTTCTGCTGGAAAGAATTCTGAATTTCAATCCTCATTAAATGTAGCCTATTAGTTTGAGATACTGATGTAATGAAAGTCAAGTATAACAGAGCAATGTACTTTTATTTTTTTACATTTAAAAAAAAGGCATTGTTGGACAGATAGTATCAGGTTATTTCTTAATGGCTTTTTATTTCATCTTGCTTACCCAGAAATTCAAAGTATATCTGATAGAACACTATACTTCACCTGAAATACTGACACCTCGCAGCCAAAATCACTCGGTGTGCAGGAAAACGTTTCTTTTCCACTATAAAGGTAACATCACTGTATTCCTCCCCATTCATCAGAACACCAACATGATCGGATAGAATGTGAACGTGGTCTATTTCACCTACTGCTGTGTAAGGTCGGAGTGGATGACTGTTGCTCATGTTGCACAAGAAATGTTTATGTTACACCTAAAAAATACAGCATAAGAATATTGAAGAAAACCATTATAAATGTTAAATTGAGTGTAACATAAATGTAAAGGTACTGGATTAGGCCCCAGAATTAAGTTCACGGACTTGCCAAGGAAGCTAACTGGGTGACCTTAGACCACTCATTTTCTTACAACTCAACCTATTTCACAATGTTCTTATGGGAAAAGAAATCGAGAAAATATATGCATGTAGAAAGTACCACCTAGAAAAAAAGCAGAGTATTATTTAATTAATTTAATTTAATTTTGAGGCTGCCCTATTTCTTAGCAACTCAGAGAGACTTACAATTAAGAAAGAAGCAACCTGTATAGAAAAAGCCAAAACTCATTAACTTAGTAGCAGTAAAAAAACTAAACTTAATTGCCCTATCCTAAGGCCTGGGAAAACAAATATTTCAATCATTTTTTCAATGTAATTTCATACATAACAGACATAAACAAAATGCAGCAATATTTTCATCAAATCATTACTACAACTGTTATGTTGATATATAAAGAGGCCCTTCTAAAAATTAAAATAAACCAAATAATTATGTTATAGTGCTTGCTTAATTGTATACTCTCTACAAGTTAAAACTGATTCTGTAACCACAGCAGATCAGTTAGGCCCTATGTAGGAGTGCTCAAATCAAATAGTGAAAGCTGTAACATAACCTTTCATGCATAATTAGCTAGAATATGAATATTTATGAACTCTTCTCCCCAGAGTCTAATTAATTATCTGAAACGGAGATAAGAGTGATTTTTAATTATTAATATTAGAAGATTTTCCTAAGAAATAAGTTTAATCAAGGCAAAATTAACTATTCACTTCCTGTAAAGCTCTAGTTGAATCCAATCTCAGAGGATAGAGCATTCACAGAAAGTGAAATCTCAACTATTTATATTCTAACAAACCTTTGAAAAGAATGTAGGTAGCCCTTGATTTACTATAACAATTGGGATAGGAATTCTGGTCATTAAGCAATGTGATCTTAAGTGATTCATCAAGTAATCAAATGCAATTTTACAAGCATTTTTACACTAGTCATCAAAAGCATGGCCATTAAATAAATCTGTCTTTCTCTACTGATTTTGCTTGTCGGAAGCCAGCTGGGAAAGCAGCAAATCATGTTCATGTGTCTGCAGGATATTGCAACTGCTGTAAATGTAAGCCAGCTGCCAAGTGTCTAAATCCCAATCACATGACCATGGTCTGGTATGATGGTCATAACTTCTAGGACAGATCGTAAGTCACTTTTTTCAGCACTGTCTTAACCTTGATCTGTTGTTAATGAATATCATAACTCAAGGACTATGTCCATTACAGGACATTTGCAAAACATACACTTTTGCCCTTTTTTTCCATTCATGTTATCATACAGTATGTAGCTTGAAGTTACTTCCCCCCCACAAACTCCTATTTTGGGGAAAAAATAAGGCTTTGTGCGCATTTATAAACAATTTGTATTTTCAATAAGTGTTTCTTATCTACACAAGGATAAAACTATAGAATATCCATTCTATTATTTTAGGCATGCACAATTATATTGATATCTTATGGTTACATAATCAAATCATATTTTGTTGTACAAAGAGCAAATATTTATGCAACTCTTAAATCTTTACTTATATTTAATATAAGATCTTAACTTGATATAAGACCTTAACTTACATTACTTCAAACTAAAATACAAATGATAGATAATAAAGCTAAGAGTTTTAGCCACTTAAAAATAGCTCGTTCTTTAATCTTTGTCCACATTTATACAGAACAATATGTTCATAAGAAACATGAAGGTTGGTTAAGCCAAAGTAGAGTGAAATGTTGTTTTCTGAAAAGTAGTTCATTCTGTGTGACACAAAATGCAAAACAAACAAAAAGCCAGCAACAAAAAAGGTATTCGATCAAAACATGGTTTTTAAAATCCTTTCGATCTTCAAAAAAACATTGATAACTTTTATAGCTGTTTCACAACTTTTTTATGAAGCTGTAATGCAGGTCATAGACAAATTCTGCCTATTTTCTATGGACAAGGAAGAGAGAGCCAAGTGTTAAATAGGGGGTTATATAGGGAGTCAAGCTATTCTCCAAAGCACCTGAAGGCAGAAGCAGCAGCAATGGATGGAAACTAATCAAGGAGAAACCAACCTAGAAATAGGAAGAAATTTCTTCAGTTAGATCAGTGGAATGGCTTGCTGTCAGAAGTTGTGGGTGCTCCATGACTGGAGGTTTTTAAGAAGACAATGGACAACCACTTATCTCAAATGGTAAAATATAGGTTTTCTCCTGCTTGAGCAGAGGGTTGGACTAGAAGACCTCTAAGGTCCCTTCCAACTCTGCTATTGTGTATTTTGTTAAATATATGAAACAACATTAAATGTCTCAGACAGCAGAGCAGTCAACTAGATTACCAATTTTTCCTTCTGCAGCCCCTTCAATGTCCTCAAAACCTGCTCTGGATGTTGGACTACTCTTTGGAGCAGAAGGGAGAACAGAAGCTGCAAAGGGAAAGGAATGAGTAAAATAATTCTATTCTATTAATATATTTTCATGCCATCCATGGCAATTCAATTTATTGTATTATGCTCCTTTTAAGAATTTTCAGAAACTAGATTAGAATAAATTATAAAATATTGAGATATGGGATTCCAATAGTAAATTGGTTCTATTTGTCGCTAGATGGCTTCTAGATTGAATTTAAAGTAGAGTATTTGATATTATGGATTTAAGATACAATGTCATATTTATTAAACTATCTATATCTTAAATAAAAGTACTTCTAAATTTCAGCATAATCTACAGCGTGATTGAGTTTTCAAACAACTTACTCTACACATTAATTCTATCCTTCCTTTGGTTAAATCTATGTAGTTGCAGAAGACTTCCTTAAGAGCAGATCCCTGGTACTTCAGCTGGTTTCTATTTTGCTGGTTTTTAAAAAATTAATCTGAGTAATTTCGGTTTTCGCCTTTAGATCTGTATACTACTGAATCCATTCAGACTCATAGTAAATCAAATAATAAATAAATAAAAGCAAACTGCTTTTATTAATATCTATGTGAATCACTCTACTCCAAGACGAAGGCTTCTTCAATGAAAGTCATGGGCTGCCATTTTCGTACAATGGAGATGGAAAAGATTTTTTTTGTTTTCCTAAAATCAACAATTAACTTTTCTCTATCTGAGCCAGTCAGAGATTTCCCAAGAAAATGGCCTGTCAACAGTGGACCACAACCTTTTTTTTTTTAGGAGCTGAAACTCTGTGTAAAACCTGAAAAGCTACAAAGTGTTCAGTGCAAGCCAACAAGGATTTCCTGTGATGCCATTACCTCATATGCAAGAGTCATAGCCATAGGAGATGTAGCAAAGGAAACCAGGTAGTCTGTTCTCCCAGATGGTTGATGAATCTGACTTAGGTGCTGCTATTAAATGCCTGGTCTGTCTAATGTAAGAACATACAAATTCATGGTTTGTTCGTATGTGAACAGACAGGCCTGATGTTATTATTGAGATTTGGCTGAGTGAAAGTGAGAATGAAGTCTGCTCAGCTGGGTCTAAGTTCCTGCATCAAGCCTTGAGGCCAGTGACATCGGAGGGGGTAATGGCACTGATTTATTGGGACACTTATCAGTCAGTGCAGGGCTGCTCTTTCAGTGGGCAGGCTGTGAGTTCTTGGGCCATATGGAAAGCTAGATAGCCTATTGCTGTACTGATTGCCAAGCTGTCCTGGAAGATCCTTTCCTGGGTTCTACTAAAAAAGCAGATAAAAGCCACTGCCAAGAGGGCACTTTCCAACTTTGGCTGGTACACCATTGTGGACCTACCTGGGCAGGAGGACTTTGCTACAGTGATTTCCCTTAGATTACTGCAATGTGGTGTACATGGAGCTGACTTTGAAGATCTCACAGAGTCTGCAGTTAATTCAAATTTAGGCAATTGGCTGTAAATTTGATAAATAATAACTTATTAAAACCATAATTTTACAAATATTCATCTACCCAGTTCTCAAGGCATCCTTCTTAAATAAGGCAAACAATTTTTAAGCAAACCAAAAACCACATAACACAGTAGTTCTGAACTGAAAGAGTGAACCATATGATTAATTCTAGATCAGAGCCTTGAATTCAAAATCTTCCTCAATCATGAAACTGAAACCAATTGTTTCTCTGAAATTTGCACATAGAGATCTGCTTTAAGGTAAAATAGGATGGCTTCAGGAAAGCTGCCTTCTAGTTTAAGCTCTCCAGAAGGAAGATACAGAGATAATAAATACATAGAGAAAATAAAATTATAAAAATATTTGCTTCATCTTGTAGTTAGTGCAAAACACATTTTACATTTGGGCCATAGGTTTAGCAAACAAATTTTCACAAACATACACAGATATCTGTCTATATATAATAATCAATTCTTGAAAGAGATGTAAAGAGGCCACTCATTGTCTCAAGCATATTGTGAGGGGGGAAAAACAGATATACAGACAGAAAGGGCTGATCCAAGACATTTTTGCTACCTCAGATGGGTCAGCAAATCCAAGTTCTCCATCTCTTATTGGATTGCCATATCCTAATAATAATTTTCAGCCTAATCAATCATACAGGATTATGATGAGAATAAAAATAACTTTAATCCCAACCTTTATTTCTTACAAAAATGATATCTGCAAATGTCATATAGACATTTAATATAGAATATAATGTTTTAGGGTGGGGGAAGTGAGATCCAAAGGGGAAAAGATGCTCTGGATCATGTGAGACCATTACACAGTACCTGTTGGCAACTGTCTTAAACAGTGTTTTTCAACCAGTAACCTTAAGATATGTTGATGTGAACTCCAGAATTCCCTAGGTAACATGTCTTCTTTATTTTTATTTTACTTATTTCATGTATGTTGTCTTTTACTACCTATAGCAGGGAACCACAAGAATTATTCTGAAAAGAGCACAAATTGATAAGCACAGCATGGTCTTAAAAAAAGAAAATGTAATTTGTATGGTCTATATCTCCATGCCTTATTGAGTGTAACAGTAAACAGCTATGTATTTACATTTACATTTACATTCCAAAGCCAGAATCTCTGACCACAGACAATAGATGATAATTTGTATGGGGAAAAAACTGCTTTAGTAAATTTCCTACTCTCATGTGGGAAGTCAAGATACTACATGCGGCTCCCCTGTAATCTTTTCTCATAACGCTATGAGATAGATTAAGCTGACTGAAAAGCAAAAAGTAGAGGAATCTATTCAAAAGGTTCTATCAAAAGAGCTTCCCTTTTAAATACCTCATACTTTTGACTTTTTGGTTGATTATGAGTTATCCTCATTTACCGAGAGCAAAGGACTGAAACATGTTTTGTAATGTCACAACGCAAATCCAGTGTCATCAAACATTGAGTAACAAATTTGAAAGACCTGAGTTTGCATTATGACAGTGTGAGGTACCTGTTGTCACTTTTTCATCACTGCATTTTGTACCACATGCTTATGCCAGGGAGCATCATAGTTGGGTGAGTATTTAAAGGCGGATCTGAATTCAATCATTACATCAATCTGCTATGGGTACAATTGGAGCAAACTTTAGCATATATTTTTTTTAAAAAGAAAACAAGAGACAAAGATTAGAGTTTATATGTACCATGTACAATACAAACAGCATTAAGAGTGGATTTCTATAGTGTATGTACTCATTTAGAAACCCAACTGAATTAAATGAGATGGATGAGAGTTGCAGTCTAAGAATCTAAGACTGACCAGAAATTTTGGGGACAAGAGCAATGCAATTTCAACATCACTAAACCTTCACTAACTACTTGATTTAGAATAGTTTTCCTAAGGTTGTTTTGGGGCGGGAATTGTAATTATGTGCTGGTAAATTTAATTAAACATACGGCCCTGGCACACGAACGGCCTTATGTTGCAGCTTAGCTTTTATTTTATTTTTACCAAGAGTTGCACACAAACCCAATAAGTAATAACTAAAAAACCGGGAGTTTACATTCCAAAAGCATAAAAGGCTTAAAAGGCCCAGGTACGTAAAGGGCGTCAATTGCACACAACGCCCACCCACTCACCCACCCCTTTTCTACCAAGACCTCAATTTCCAGACGTTCGCTTTCATTATGGGATGAGCCAAGCCCCATCGCCACTTTGCAACCCCCAGGAAAAACCGGACGCGAAACCTGCTGCACATCTCGAGGCGGAGCCCTCGAGGGGAGGGGAAAAAAAGCTCGCGACGACTCCTTGGCGATACCCATCGGATGCCCTTTTGCCTGCCATGAAATAACCTCGCCGAGTGGCTAAGAAATGCTCAGGGCCGCGGGGGTTGCCCGGCAGGGAACGGCGAACCGATGTTAACGGCCATGGCTGCTTGCCGCCTGCGCGCCGGCCTTACGCGCGAGCGCGTGTGTGTGGGGGGGAAACACCGAGGAAACTCCCCCCCTCCCCCCCAGTCCTTTCGCCGCCAGACTTACCGGCTGGAGCGCTGGAGCAGGACACCCCCCCTCCCCTTCCTCCTCCGCCGGCCGTGGCGTTCAGGCGTCGCCGCGAGCACTGACGTCACCCTGGCAACGCCGGCGCTCGGCGCGCCGACGTCATCGCGACGGTAACGAAAGCGAGAGTCTTTGCCATTACAAGATGCACATTTTGTAGAGGTGGGGATTGTTCCTTTTTTGGCGCCGGTCCTGTAATCTCCAGAGAAAGAAATGAGGAGGGGGGGGGGGGGGGGGGAGGGAGAAAGCCACACCGTGTTTAACCACTCTCCTCATGGAAATATTTCCTCTTTAAAATCAATGGAGAAATAATTGCAAAGCTGAAATTCAAGCCAGGCGGACGGGCGCCTGCGTGGGCGGTCAAAACCTAAATCTTCCTGTTTCAACTGCCACGAAAATTAAGAAAAAGAAACAGATTCATTTCAATATTTCATTTAAAAAAAAAAAAAAACTTAAGCTGTAGCTTATGCTACCGATAGCTTATGCTATCCGTTTTCGGAACTAGCTCATTGCTGCTAACAAAGATCAGTTGCGCTTTCTTTTTCTTTCTTTTTTGAGACAACCCTCAAAGGAGTTTCTTTCACAACATATAGAGTAGGGAGGGTCACACTGGCCTTAAAATACATAGGTACGGTCTTAAAGGTCCAGATTAGTACGGAGTTAAGAGAAAAAATATTTTTCTGATCATCAGCCTTCTAGATCCTTAATTCCATCTATAGTTTGCAATTTCCCTGCCCAGGAAAAGGTAAGACTGGATAAACCAAAATTAAACTTTCCTCCTTGTAATATCCTATGCAGTAAGCAAATTGGAATAATCCTTGAAAATGAATGTTAGGCAGTACAATCATGTTGCCCTTTTTATGCCCTTTTGTTGTTAGTTGCGAAGTTGTGTCCGACCCATTGCGACCCTATAGACAACATTCCTCCAGGAATTCTTTTCTCATTCTTTCGTCCCCTTCTTTTGCCCTCAATCTTTCCCAGCATTAAGTTCTTTTCCAGTGAGTCCTTCCTTCTCATTAGGTTGCCAAAGTATTTGAGTTTCATCTTCAGGATCTGGCCTTCTAAAGAGCAGTCAAGGTTGATCTCCTCTAGGACTGACTGGTTTGATCGCCTTGCAGTCCAAAGGACTCGCAGGAGTCTTCTCCAGCAACATAGTTCAAAGGCCTCAATTTTTTGGCGCTTGGCCTTTCTTATGGTCCAACTTTTATGCCATGATGCAGTGAAAACGGACCTTTCATTCCTTCATTGATGTAGGGTTCAGAATTCAGCAACCAGTTTATAGGATGAAAATCGCACTTGCATGTACAAGAAATACTCCTATTACTATCCTTTTCTTCTGTAGTCTCCAATTATGGTCGCAGTCTGCCAGATTTAGTCAGATTAGATTGGATTTGGCATTTTTACTTACCTATCAAGCCCTTCACAAGGATCTGAGATAGGCAGATGTTTGATGGTATTAAAGCTACTGTTGCAGGATACAAGATATTCCGTGTAAAGGTGCTTTTTGCAAATGACTGATGATGATTTTGTCAATGCCAATAGAGTTCAATGTGGGTTTTTTTGGGGATTGCAACCAAGGCACCTATCGCTATTGGTACTATCTTTGCTTTTTTTGCCAGTCGTTCTATTTCTATTTGCAAATCTTTGTAATTTGTGATTATTGAAGAAATACAAAGATCAGTGCTGATCCCCTAACTGCCTGGGGAAAAACCCTGTTTTCTTGGCAGGCTTTCAGAAGTGAAAGTTTATCATTGCCTGCTTCTGCTTCCTATGACCAGAGAAAGTGACTGGCCCAGGATAATTGAGCAGGCTTCTAGAACTCACACTCCCAGTTTGTAGCCTGATACCTTATCATTATATATTTATTTCGTAGTGTTTTAGTTGTTTTTATATTTTATGATATATGCTGCCCAAAGTCACTTATTGAGATGGGCAACTATAGAAATCAAATAAATAACGGTAAAACCACTACAAGTAGTCTTTCCTAACTGGAATCAGCAACTCCACTGCTGAGCAAAGCAGATGATAAATGGGAAACCATGTAATCACAACTGTGCTTTCCAGCTACAAAGACTAGCAAATTTCATACCTTCTGTTTTCTGTCTACCTCCTAATCATTCTCACCTTTTGAAAGGCTTGTATAGATAAAAAGTAATATCATTGTGCTGACAGCTCACAGCTGGGAACTGCTGACATGCTAGGCAAACATCTTACAATACTCTCTTGAAATCTCTTCCTTTCCAATCGCTCCACTTGTGAGAAGGCAGACCAAGTTATTTCTGTAGGCCAACTCTCCTTTTCCTGACTCCACATTCACAACAGAGTTATGAGGAAAAGATTTCAATAGAGTGCTATGTACTTCTGCGCATCAAAAGCAATGTGTTTGTGCATCGGCAACGGGAAAGAATCAGACAAAGGAGGATTGCCTATAGAAGTTGTTTTCCCTGTCCTCGTAGAGCAGAAAGATTGGAGGAAAAAATTTCACAAGAGTACTGTAAGCTATCTGTAATGTGCCGGCAGCTTTCAGACCCAACCTGCTTGTATGATTGCACTAGTTTCAATGTGTAGAAGAGTAAACAGCTTACTCTCTTGCAATCCCTTCCTCTCCTCTCTCTCTGCTCGCAGTGGGGGGAGGGAGAAAAAAACAGGGCAGGCACACATGTCCTGAAGGAATGATAATCACTTGACTAAGGAATGCTGTGAAGATATTAAATGGTAGTAACTTGGCTGTAAAATTATTTTTTAAGCACCTGTGTAACTTCAAACACTTGCTGAACAAGTGTTTGGTAAGAGAGGAATATCTATGCACTAAACTGGCTCTCAATTTAGTCTCTAAAACCAATACTGTTTTACTATGGTATCTTCCTAGTTTTCATTTTGCAAACAACCAACTGAAATTATTTTTTCCTAGTGCCAAATATAAAGAAGCATAAACAAGATTCCACAAAATTGAAGAGTCAGCTTCAGCAACAGAGAATAAAAAAAGAATACAACTTAATAATTTAGTATGCAAGTATTTAATATTTTCCATCTTCCAGAAAAAACAGTCTTAAATTGCCATTTTGATCTTTTGTCAGCACTTCAAAATAAAGCAACAGTTATTTACTGAACAGGAGCTAGGAGCAAGAATCAATTGTATTGCACCAACCATAAATGGTTGGAATTCACCAACCATAAAAATGGTTCTATGGTGAACATTTTTCCAGAAGAAAAATTTCAGAATACTTGACTGCATTCAGGCACTATGGCAAAATAATATATTTTTTTAAAAGTTGGCCCTTAAACATGATTTGTACTAACTGTGGTTCACCATTTTAAAAAATCAGTTATGAAGGTTTGTTCTACCCCAAGAGATCTCTGCTTAGTAAAAACAGAAGTAAATTTCTAAAAAACAAAAAGCTGAAAGCTCTGCTTTTTCTATGGTAGATTTGGAAACTCAAACCTTGATAAAGATCTTAACACTGGTTTTGAGACTGACCCACGGTAAACAAGTTTACATGCCCCAAAAGAAAAATATTAGAATATTCTGTCTTCAGATTGAGTAGGAAATTGCATGCAAGAGCCAATATTGAGCTTCCAATATCTTCTTGCATACAAAATGAAGAGAGAAAGAAATTTGAGACCATTAGTACGCTGTTGCTTACTCCCTAACCTCTAATCTGAATGATTCTTCTGCTGTATTACACTAAAAGTGTTCACATTCACAACCAAATTCATAAATTAAGTAGGGAGAGGAGAAACAGAATACAGCATCAGCTAGTCTTTTTTCTTCCTGATTACATCAATTATTTTCCCTTAAAGAAATTACAATAGTTTCTTATAACTAACAGTGCATTGTTCTTATTTCTAATCTAGATTAAAGTCACCATATGATTAGGGTTCAGGATTTCAATCCAGTAGCCATCAGGATCCTGAATAAAAGCGAGGCCTTTCATTTTACCTATAAAAGAGGAATATATAGTTTTAATAAATTCTCATTTTAAGTCTTTACATTGTAAAGATAATGTAGGATCCAATCTGAATCGGTCACCAGAAGTTTCCTGAAGATGGGCTCCAGCACAAATCCGAAAGCTTGGAAGACGAAACCGCTGGTCCCTGTGACAGATCCAGATTAGATCCTACTTTACAACTTTTCCAGATTAATACCATATCTTTGCCAAGGATTTTTTTTCTAATGACAAGATTTTTATCATTTATTTACAAAAAGCAAGCTGGAGATAGACAAATAGGTTGGAGATACACATCATGCTACCCTACATATGTGTATATATAATTTGACATGATCGAAGAAATTCACCAATTTATCTCAATACTACATACAAAGAAAAAGGCTCACAGCACACTCACCATCATCTGGTTTTTTCACAAATTTTACCCCCAGTTCTTCAAATCTTTCACAAGCTTTATTTACATCAGGAACAGCAATTCCAATGTGACCTAAAGAACAGCAGAATAATCAAAAACAGTGCTACATTGGCAATATGTGAATAATGCCTTTGTTCATAAAGCATTAACATAAATCATCCATTTTTTGAAAAAAATACAACCATTATTCTTTACTACATACAGAAGAAATCTATTAATTGTATTCAAAATTATATTTAAAAGGGAACACCCCCAATCTGAAGTGATCCAGATGCATTGGTACAACTTCTATCATTTCCATCCAGTACTGAAACTCAATGATGGGATTATGGGAATTATAGTCCAATAAATTTAGAGATTATCAAGAAGATACAATTTTACTGAATGAACCAGAGTATTACTGTGGATCTTACATCTAGTCCAATCCCTAGCTTCTGCGATATGCTAAACCAGCAGTCCCCAAATTTTTCGGCACCAGGGAACAGTTTAATGGAAGACAACTTTTCCATGGACCGGGGAGTGGGAGCAACACGCAACCTAGATCCCTTGCATGTGCAATTTAGAATAGGGTTTGCACTATGTGACTCTAATGCCTGATGATCTGAGGTAGAGCTGAGGTGGTGATGCTAGCACTGGGAAGCAGACGCAAATACATATGAAGCTTTGGTCGCTCACCCATCACTCACCTTCAGCTCTGCAGTCCGGTTCCCAACAGGTCACGGACCAGGACCAAATGTCTTAACAAAAGTCTGAGCAGCATCCACTATTGTTGTAAACAAATATTCAATCTTACTCATTTTAAAAATAGGAAGTCATTACACCTTCTCCTGTCCTTAACTTCAAAAAAAAAAAAAAAAAATAAGTTCTCTCTATGCTTGTACACAGCAGGCTTTTTCTGTTCATGCTTGAAGACTGTCATGCCTTTCCATAGTCTTCTCTTTTGTAAGCAAAATATAGTCAGAAAGCTTAAGCATTCTTCCTGAGATTTGGTTTCCAAGCCCCTTATCACCCTCTTACTAAACCATGCAGCACACTTAAAGCTTATTAACTTTTCCCCCCTGGGAATTGCTTGGATCTGTGCTTGCAGTATCTTGTTTTTAAGGCTGTCCCACATTGTTGTTTGTCTTTTTAAGATTTCAAGCTATAGCATGCTGCCCATCTTTTTCCTTAATACATTCAATTCTTGAAGCCGAGTGCATATGGCTAATTTTTCACCATTTTTCCCTTCCTTCATTTTTGTGAATTTCAGAACATAGTCACTTGGCCTCAAGGTGCCTGACTCATTCCATCAATCTCCCAATTGGTCATAATTAGACCCAGGAGAGCCAATTCTATCATCATATAAAACCATCTTCTTAATAAAAAGTGCTACGTTACCCAAATCTATACCTCTCTCCTTCCTTCTGGTTTAGTTTTTATTCAGTTATTTCAATTTATATAATCACCCATCTCCCTTATCTGACCCTGGTCAACTCATAAGTTAAAAAAAAATTAAAGTTGTTTCAAACTATTGTTGAACACTGCTCCTTTGTCTGCCCTTGAAGACACCTCAGGATATGCAGAATGCTGAAACCGACATGCTGCCTGGTAAAAGTAGAGCTGTGTAACACCTAAACTGCAGACTCTGCACTGCTGACTTGACCTTATAAAAGGTTTATTCTTGATCTTTACTCTCACATGCTGTCCAAAAGCCAGTTATTCTTTACATTAGTTGCCTTCTGGAAAGCCATTAAAACATAACTGTTTTGACAAGTCTTCAGAGTTGTGGTATGTCTATTATTTATTTAGTAATATGCTTTCAATATTTTTTTCACTCTGATATACAGTTTTAGGATTTTGCTATTTTGTAATTTTGTTTTGTAAATTACCTACAGAAGTGGCGGTATGCAAATAATGACAATAAATACAATCCAGATGTAATTAATATGATAATCAGGTATATTGTTTTTGTCTGAAGTTCCTCCAGTAGAATTACATAGTAATTGTAAATATGGTTTCTCTGACAAATGAAGCCCAACCTAGAAGGAAATTTATGCTGCCATCAAATTGTGGAAACTGAATACAACCAGATGCATTAAATTGGGGAGAGCTGATCCTAGAGCCAATGCCATTGTTTTATTTCTTGGAGAATTTTTTTATAGATGAAAAGATTTAAGATTTAAAAGATTTAAAATAAATATGAAGCTGGAGTCCCCCCCCCCTTTTTTTTTAATTGAAGATTAATAAACTTTTCTGGAAATAAAAGATACACACGTAATGCATTTTGACTTTTTTCCTTTTCAAAACATACCAAATCCTCTGGGATCTGAATTGCCATTGTGGTAAGCCTGATTCTCATCATTTTCAGTTCCCCAATTGCTAAAAGAAAGAAAAGGGAGAAATGGAACAAGTGGAAGACAAATATATATTGATTAAGCAGTTTCAGCACAAATTAGAAGCTAGCTAAACTTTTTGAAAAAATATTTATGCTTAAAGAAACTAAAGAAAAGCCTAAACTCTACTGTATTTTTCGGACTATAAAACACACTCCCCCCCCCCAAAAGGTGGGTGGAAATGTCTGTGCATCTTATGAGGGAATATTGCGACCGGGGGGGGGGGTGTTGGTGCGGCACCAATCAGTTCTAGGCGACAGACATTGCCGCCGCCTATCGCTGCCACCCGTTCATGGTGAGTGGGCCGTAGCAAACGGGCCGCAGGGGCAAACGGGCTGCAGAGGCAAAGGCAGATTTTTTCCCCTTGTTTTCCTCCTCTAAAACTAATGTGCGTCTTATAGTCCGGAGAGTCTTATAGTCCGAAAAATATAGTAAGTATAGAGAACAGTAAGTATATAAATTTAAACCATTAGCAAATTTCAACCATTTATATTGGGATTATACTATATACTAAAACCATCCATATCAAAAATGAGCTGCATCCAAAACAAACTAAACCTATAAACTTATAAAGAACAAGGATTTATTTGCTTTGATATAAGATTGGAAGTAAATCATTCGGGAGGAATCTGCTTCTTTATTGCAGTGAATCTGGTACCCAAACTTGTAAAACTACAGGTAGAATTTGCTTAACAATCATTCATTTAGTGACTATTTGAGTTATGATGGCACTGGGTACCTATCCCCAGCCTTGAAATAACTGTTATAGTGCCTCTGCAGTCACATGATCAAAATTCAAGTGACTGGCAGTCCACCTGCATTTACAATTGTAGGGATGTTTCAACTTCCCCTAACCATCTATATCCTTTTGGCTTTTCTGCACTCTGCTGCCCCAAACTGACAGCACAGTAGCTGCTTATACACCCTCTCACTGGGCAGCAGCCATCCCCAGCCACCATGGCCATTAAGCAAATCTATTTTCACCAATGTGCACGTTTTCTCAGAACCTGGAAATAAACATTGGAAATCCAGTCATGTAACTGCAAAGGAGCGTTGGTTCCAAGAACCCAAAATGTGATTACGTGACAGTGGCATGAGTGGGTTATGTGGAGTAACATAATGGAGTAGTGGAGTAACTAGTTTTGGGGGACTTCTAATGATCATTAAGCAACCAGTTATAAGTCAAGGACTACCAGTATTTATTTTAATGTAATTTGACAGTCACATGATTTGTAGCTGTTAAGCAATCAGTTATTCTTGGAATTTCTTTCCACTCTGAGTAGAATTGGGAACTATTTTCATTCTTTGAGCAGCATTTCTATTTTATTTGAGTGCTGGTAAGTCGGACACCTGTTCCAGTTTAAAACTGATTACACCCATTGAAAAAAATCCATATATGACAATAGGTTGATCAAACACACATTAAAAGCAGGATATGTATTCCTTTATATGGAACTGTCCTTTGAGTAGGCAAATTATAAAACAGACACCATATGAATTATTGGAATGCTACTCTATTGTTATATAGCAGTGATGGCTAACCTTTTTCTTTGGACTGAGTGCCCAAAGTGCGTGAGTGTGCTCAAATGCGCGTCCAAGCCCCCAAAATGCAATGCGAGTGCCCCCCCACACACCTGCCCCCCCATGCATGCACACATGCCCTGCCCCCTGCACATGCGTGGCAGAGACCCAAAGACCAGCTGGCCACCGGGAGGTGTGCACGCATACACAGCAGAGCTGAACTGGGATGATGGCTTACGTGCCGTCAGAGAGGGCACTGCGTGCCACCTCTGGAACGTGTGCCATAGGTTCGCCATCACGGTTATAGAGTATACTATCAGAATCTGAAAACCTGAGTGACTCTCCTTCCTTCTTATACTAAAGAGATCAAGGTAGAGCATCCTTAACTTTTCCCCTCATCTCCTTCTTTCTGCCTGGGTTAAATTATTGCTTGTATAATGGATGGTGATTTCCTTCTTCAAGACCATTTTCATACCCTCTACAGGAGCCACATCTTTCTTTAAAAAAATATTTTAAGTGTGTTATCACTTCTAGGTGATCCATAGTTTGCAAAAAGATCACTCCTTATTCATTTCTCAGAATCACCAGGTTTGAAGAGTATATAGTAGATGAAAATGTGGGGACTGGGGAAAAATCAACATGCAACAGTCATCACATTTGAGAGAATACACTCACTGTGTCAGTTCTACTGTGGCCTTCCTAGAAAAGGTCCATGCTATCCTCTCATTATTATCTTTTGGAATATCATTTTTATCTTCATAAGCCAAAAAGTAGAGGGAGAACTTCATAGAAGGAAAGTCATATTTTTGAAGTAAACTAAGGGAAAAAACATACAAATTATTTCATCCTAAACATGTAATGATTTGCTATCATTTCTTTTAAATGATTGTAAATGTACTGATTTTTTGAAGTAAAAAATATACCAAGAAAGCAAAATTTATCACATCTCAGAGAACAATAAATTCATTTGACGCAAGCTTTCAGAGAGACCTCTATAGCTTTAAATTGAAGGCAATCCAATCTTTCACAAAATAAAGCTGATTTTTTTTCCAATTTCCTCATTATAACACAGCATCAAGCTCCTTGATGATCAGCTTTAGGACTGCTGTTGATAATTTTTTTAATTGAAAAAAATCAATTAAAAATAAACCTGAGGTTTACAATGACAACAAAAATGTACAAAAAAATTATAGTTTTATTATATAGATCAAATCCAGAAGGACACTTATTATGGCAATGTTGAAGAAAATGCAACTGTCAGGTTTCGATGTCTCAAATAAAATAAATTGCATTTCCAAACAAATAGTCTTTGATGAAATCTTTCATTTATTAAGCGCGACAATCTGTCCCCGATTGTGGCATAGCCAACACTGACTTCCTGACCCCAAACCTTCCCTTTCCATTCCCCAATTCTCTGCGTCTCATTGGCCATCTTCCAAATCACTCTCCCCATATCTACTACTTCAGCTCCCAGGAATGTCCCCCCTTCCATCTCATCTCCTAGGGGATATTATCTTCAGGGAAAATAAGTAGGTGAGAAGTCAAGCGTCCTCTTGCCAGCTGCCCCCTCTTCTCCTTCTTATGTCAGCACTAGAGTAAATGCAGGTTGAAGTGCTGACAGCAACATTTTTCCTTGGAGGAACATTTGTAAGGAACAACATAAATTAACCTATAGTTCGCTGTACAGTAACCTATTACTGAACGAAATTCCTTCTGAGAAGAGACATGAATTCACTTTACATCTCCCAAATCCTTACTTAATATGTCAATCAGATTTAATTCTGACTACATATAACAAGTATGCTAGCCAAAAGCATTTGGTTTCTTATTATTTCAGAGATTTTTGTAGTTACTGTTCTTAGAAAATCAAGTTTGTAGGGCACACATTCCTTTCATCACATGCAGCAAATAAAACCTTGCAGGCTGTAGCATACTGGGGATTTCCACTCAAGAATGCTGCCTCACACCTAACTATACTCCAATATACTGGCAGGGTGAGATGGGAAAGGACAATACTGTGTTTCAAACCTTGGAGAAAATGCAGAGTTAAGCATGTTTCTCATTCAAATTATTGACAAAAACATTACATCCACAAACAAAACAAAGACTCCTTTTACTGAGTTGAGGTTCCCATCAAAGAAAAAGGAAAAGATTTTTTGGTTCTTTCTTTAGTAGTTTATCTCTTTTGTGCCAAGTTTTTTCAAAGGCCTCCCAAATCATTGGGACAGTTTAAAGCAGCTTAAAATCTTTCATTAGTGGAGGACTAGATTCAAGACTCTTTTATTTTTAAATACTTAAAATATTAATGAAGACAAGTAAATTGTTTTTACTTACGTCATCCCAAGAATTCTAGTATAAAAATCCAGTGATTTTTTAGGATCTTTTACTCTTAGCATTGTCTGCTGCATAAGAAAGTCCTACAAAAAAACACAACTTTGGTAAATCAGAAGACTCAACAAAATAGAATATAGTTTCCCTAGGGACAAAAAAATGGCCAAGACTAAAATATTTGTTTTAATATCAGATTAACAGCACTATACTACCTGGTCAGTTCTTGCATGATTTTAGCAGGATTCTGGTGGATGTTGATGCCTAGGGTACTGAATAACAATCAAAGAACCATTGTTTTGAAAGGGAGCTTCAAGTTCAAAATTTTTGTTCAGCCTAAGAATCTAAATTAAAATATGGTAAAAGATGACTGCCCTTAAATACATCACCTTACTTGATAACTGGTTCAGTTTACACCTATTCTTACTGATAAGAATGTTTCTAACTTTCACTGGAGCCATTAGTAAGAGAGGCTTGATTTAAATAACTCTTGCAACATACTTCTATTTTTTTCAAGAGCATATTATAGTATGTTAAATGGAACTAATTCCCAGAGATATGTGCAAATAAGATTACAATCCACTACCCTGTGTTAAATCTTCGTAAACTTGGTAGAAATACCAACACAACTGTGTTATTAACAGAGAAGGATATAAAGTACCTCAAGGGATTCTGATAACACTTGAGAAGGCATCTAGAATACAGATAGTCCTCAATTTATGACCACAACTGAGCCCAAAATTTGTTAAGTGAGACATTTAAGTGAATTTTGCCCTATTATTACTTTTCTTGCCACAGTTGTTAAATGAATCACTGCAGTTGATTAGTTAGTAACTCGGTTGTTAAGAGAATCTGGCTTCCCCATTGACTTTGCTTGTTAGGTGGTCACAAAAAGTGATCACATAATCTTGGGACACAGCAACGGTCTTAAATATGAACCAACTGCCCAGCATCTGAATTTTAATCACATGATCATAGGAATGCTGCAAAGGTCGTAACTCTGAAAAACATGGCTGTTTTTGCAGTGCCATTTTAACTTTGAAAGGTCACTAAATGAACTGTTGTAAATTCAAGGATTACCTGTAATCAATTCAGGTTGCAATGTGCAATCTTGCAATCCTAAACAGATATGAGGGGCCCTTAATGCTCTCTGAGCTTGGTTGTTTTCTTGCAGATGTTTCATTACCCAACTAAGTAACATCATTAGGCCTAGCACTCGTTTGGATAATGAAACAAAATGAGGATCCCTCATTTCAATCCTGAGCTACAAATATTCTCCTTTATTGGCTACGCATATCTATATCATGGTGAGTAGGATAGCTAACAAAGTATAAAGGAAATGTGCAGAATTGCTTTTCTCAGTTTGGGGCTATCCAGATATGAACCAAAACTCTCACTGTGCAAGGTTTCAGATGATGGGAAGTGCTGGCCAAGCACACAGACCAGGCTGGGAAATAAAGAATATTTGTAGCTCAGGGTTAAAAGGAAGGGTCTTTGGTGCTTTCTGAGCTTGCTTGTTTGGTTGCAAGATATTTCATTACCCAAACTAGGTAACATCATCAGTGCTAACATCAGGACTAGCACTGATGATGTTACCTAGTTTGGGTAATGAAACGTCTTGCAAGAAAACAAGCAAGCTCAGAGATCACCGAGGACCTCTCAGGCTGGAAAAGGCTGGCATATGAGGCAAGAGCATTCCGGGAAGGATTTGATCCTCCGGCAGCCAAGACTTGAGGTCATTTTTTGCTTGGCTAAGCGCTCTGGCTTCCACCCTGGCATTCTGCAACCCCTGAATCCTGCGAGCTCTACCCGTTCTTTCGGCGAAGCCGAAGTCGCTCGCAGTGAAATCAAGAGTGCCCCCCTTCTTCCCACTTTCCAGCAAGCTTTCGCTATTTGTTCAACGGTTTCTTCCTCCTCCTTCTTGCAAGTCACTTCTTTCTCTTTACCTTCGTGCTGGGATCGGGGTCAGCACAGGCGCTATAGGCTTCTTCATCGGTCAGACCGCTCACCTCGCCTTGCTCCGACATGCTGCAACCTAGGACCCGAATAGCCACACAGAATTACGCCCAGGCCGTCCCCTCCCTGTCGCGTATTTTAGAAGCGACGAGATTGGGGGGGGGGGGTAAATGAGCGAGAAGGCTCTCCAGCCAATAGAAGCAAGGCATGCAAATCGGGCAAATCCGTTGTTCCTACAATTCCCAGCATTCTTTGCAGCAGGAGTGTGTTTAATTCCATCCTCCTCCTTTGCATCCCCAGTTCCTTTTAAAGAAAAGATGATTCATCCCCTATAACTGACGAGGAAGCTAAGTAATTACTGCGAGTTCGCTTTTGCAGGGGAACGATGACCTACGGCCCGGAAAATTAGAACAGTAGTTGAAAGAGCAGCAAGAGTAACTGTATGACTTATACAGTAGTCGACTGCAGAGAACTGGAAGAAAAGAAATATATATATTTAAAACAAAATTATGTATGTTAATTCTAGCAAAACTTTTAAAAACTCTATTAATACATCCAATAAAGCTCAATCAATTTGATCCACATGATCAAATTTGAACCACATTCATGCTTTTCGAAAGCAAAGAACTGAGTGAAAAAACTTCACAGCTACAGGAGACTTAATGGAAAATTTTAACTTGTTTGGTGTTCTCACAAAATCCAATTTTCTGAAATGTAATGGTAGCTGTGAAGCATTGGTTTTCAAAGTCAGTGTTTATTACAGCAAATAAGGCATCTGGTAATAAACAGTTGAGCAGAAGGCTGCAATTGAAGAAACTGTTATTAAAGCAATGCTCTCCAATTTAGTATTGTCCCCATGTACGTTGCCCAAATGCTTATTCAATAAAATATGAGTTGGCTCAGTTAATGCAGCAATTCGTTCATTCATGCCTTCAAGTTAGTATTGACTTGGCAACTGTCTGGACCAGACCCTGCAGTGTTCTTGGCAAGATTTGCAGAAGTAATTCGCAGCATAGTAAATCATAAACAATCATTTGTAAATTACACTCTTTGATTTACCACAGCACTCCCTTGGGGTAACTTTCTTGGATTAGACTGGCAGACTGGAACAACAGAGAGCAGGGTTTAACCTTTTTCTGCAGGGCTTTTCAAAGTACTGTCCTGTTCCTTCTTTTCTCAAGGCTAAATGACTCCCAATTCTTCCAGTCACTCAGTTTAAACTTTTCTTGCCTGGTCCTTCTAGTGTACTTTTCTTCTGAATCATTCCAACTTCCCAGAAAAAAAATCATGGTGTAAAAAGAAATGCCCACAGGAAGGAAAAAGTCACTGACCACGGTCATTATAAAGAGCAACCTATACAGGACTTCTGATCAAAGTTGCTTTGGAGAGTGCATGTTTGCAACTCCTTAAAGCAGCTGGAGCTGTAGTGCAATCTCAGGGGAAAAAGGTGTCTGGTTTAAGGAATTCAGAGAAGTATAATGCTTACACTCCCGATCTCAGTGAAACACATTTTTCCCTTTAATTAAGGCATTGCAAGTCATCGTATGTATATCTCAAAGATCTATTAGAATCCTATGTAGGATTATGAGAGGAAAAAATATAACTGAAAACTTCAAAAGCCAATAATAATCAGCAACAACTGCATTGAGTAAAATGGATTAATAGTCTGAGTCAAGTTTACTGCAAATTTTTAACTTTTTATGAGATTAACTTTCCAGAAGGTTCTGAAGAAACATACCCTAATCTTAAAGTGAATGTTTGTTAAGATGTTTGAAAAAGTTGCATAATAACATAATGCAGTAATTCAGAAGCATTTGTAATCATGTTGTCATCCTTTACCAGGACACACTAATCAAAACAACAGGCTTGATCAAGAGGGTCTAGATTTAAAAGGACTAGAAGGATATGCCAAGATACTGGCTGAGTTAATACAGCACAGTAAGGTAATAAACTATGGTTTATAAAGGAGAATGTTTGATTTACCACAGCACTCTCTCCAGTTCTGTTTATATAGAATGCATGCCCATGATTAAACATGATTTAGCTAAACCAATTTTGAGGTTAGAATGACACATTAACCAACAAACTATTTACTTTGAAGAAGTTATTATATATTATATAATGAATTTGTTCTTTTATTGATTTGGTTCTTCACAAAACCAATATAATCCAGATGACCATTTATTCATGATCAAACAAGAGGCAGGGATTCTCAGGCTGATCTTTCACAATTCTCTCTAATAGGTTAAAATTATTTCTCTGTGAAGCTTCTAGGCAAAAATGAAACCCAAAAAGTGACTGGCAAGCATCTTTTAGATGCTATAGCTTCAAATTGTGCAAAGGGCAAGCTGGCTATTGCATTCACTAGTTGTAAGTATGAAAAATGAGTTTACTGTTCTTCCAGTACCAAAAAAATTCAACATAATGATAGCAGTGTTTTAAATTTAAAGAAAAATTGAAACTTGAGACTTACTATTCAATATAAAAATATTTCTGAGAACAGGAATTAAATAAAATGCTCAAGATTCGATAATGTTTTAAAAATAAGTTAGAAGCAAAGCTGAAATAAAGTCGCCATACAGAGCAATAGTTCCCCCAAGATTGAGTACAAAAATACAGTTGTTAGCAGGAAAAATATGCTGATTCCAAGTGTTCTTTCTTCTTTGGTGATATTTTCAATATTTGCAAGTTGGAACAGACCGCACTCCAGGAACCATCTGTTTCAGCAACGGCACAATACTTGTGAGATATTCCTACTGCTAGGCAGTAATGCTGCATTTTGATTCTATCCCATTATTAGATTGATAGATTCTGCACTCAACTGCCAGTGTGGCCCTTGCACAGCTTAAAGGTTCCATGTCCTTCCACTTATAGTCCAAGCTGAGTGCTTGAAGCCTTTGGAAGCTTTGCTGCAAATGTGCTCTCTCTGAATTCTTCCGCCCACCTTTATTAGACTTCATTTTCCTTTGAGCTCAAGAGGGAAACTGCTTAACACTCAGTGGATGAAGTGAACTTCCTAGCGATCTGTCCATTTCCTTGCATCTTTTGAACACGGTCAGTGAAGAAAGAATTTTGGTTTGAGTTTGGTTTGAGAAAAAGATAAGGAAAGTTGGTTCATTTAGACTCAAGCTCATTGCCCTCTTATTCTACCAAGAGCCTGTTGTGCTGCTCTTTAAAGATAGCAGTAATGATTATATATATATATATATTAATGTTTTTATGCAACTCTAAAGATTCCAGTGATTAATTTCTATCTTCCAGTATATGAAAGATCATCTCACCTTAAACATTACAAGAGGAAAAGAACTATTTTAAATAGATTTTAAATAGATTTTATTTAAAACAAATAATTGTTTCTTTTCAGTATTCTCATTTTAAAATAACTTAGATGGTCAAATATAGAATAAATCAGCATTAAATAAAAATTCTTTGCTACATACCCATTATCCTGCTCCATATTGGGGTAAGTCACATTTTGCCAAGAGCAAACAACAAGTAATAGAAAATTTTAAAAAGGTATGAGGTCAGAGGGTAAAAAAGGTAAAACTAATTTACATCATCATTCATGCTAAGTCTTCATATCTCCCTGTCCTTACTAACAAACTTCCAGCACATATATATACTGTGTTATACACTGCCTTTTGTTCTATATAACATAAAACCATGCACAGGTAACCTTTGACATATGACTGGTCACAGAATGCAGTGTCACCGATGCTGAACAGAAGGAACAGGTTTACCAGAAGAATGCCGGTTTTATAGTAGCTGTACTGATTGCCAGTAGGCTTCCAGTCCAATTGAATGTCCTTGTTTTTACCTATAAAGGGATTGCTTATTTTTTAAAAGAAAAACAGAAAAACCAAGAACCTAAAAAGAGAGGTGTTCAACAGAATACCTTAGTTATTCAGGAATACTTGATACTCTAAAAGAGTATTTGTAGTTCATGGCTGAACTATGGAATTGATACTCTGATATATCAGCATCTACTGAAATCAATTATTCCAGATACTGTTATTATACCTTTTGGTTGCATTACCCTCATGGCCTGAGCTTCCAAGAAGTATTTTTGGGAAGCAATAGGTGCTTCCCTTTTTATTCTATTGTAAGTATGAAAAATAAGTTTACTGTTCTTCCAATACCAAAGAAATTCAACATAATGATAGCAGTGTTTTAAATTTAAAGAAAAATTGGCCTAATCTCTTCCCTTTTTTAAATATGTAAATTTTAATCTGTTTTTAAATTATTGGGGTGTTTTAATCTGTCTGGGCCAAAATGATTTAATTTGATTTTATCTGGTTTTTAAATTTTTTGTATCTATGTATTTTATTGTTTGGCTGTTCACCGCCCTGAGTCCTTCGGGAGTAGGGCAGTATACAAATCAAATAAACTAAACTAAACTAACTGTTCTGCAGAAAAAGCAATGTGAACCAGGCATTTTTCCCTAGCTATGTGGTGGAACATCTAAAAAGTAGTTTATTCTCAAGACTGCTTAAAAGTTCATTTTTATGGGGCTGTTTTGCAAAACGGCACCACTGCACTGCAGCAGTTGCCAAGAAAGTGCATTCTGTCAGATGACAGGGAATATTTTCCTGATGTGAAAGACCTTAGTATTGTCTTCTCACCCAACATCAATACAACAGAATAAAACAGTCCTTGCAGTTTTGTCTGCCATTCCACCAGAAACTCTTTATTCTGGAGAGAAGCATTATTCTAAAGGGAAATTTTTCAGAGCTGCATAATAGCACTTAGACTTATATATTGCTTCATAATGCATTATAGCAGTTTACAGAGTCAGTATATTACCCCCAACAATCTGAATCCTCATTTTACTAACCTCAGAAGGATAGTAGGCTGACTCCTTTCTTTCTTTATCAATCCTTCATTTCTCTCCCTCAGCCACTTTTCTCAGAGGGCTACTGAGGAAAGGACAAGATGGTCAAGCAGTAGGTCTGAACTGTTCATTTGAGGACACTATGGTAGATGCCTAGAAGTGGATTTGAAGAATTTAGGTTTAGATATAAGATATAATTCTTTTGGAAGGGATACACACTTTAAGACATTTGGTATCTTCTATTCTAAACTCACTTTGCAACAATTATTAATAAACCACAGGAATAAAAATGGAGAACGTAGCAGACCCTGCTC